TGTTTACTGGTCTGTTCACTGAGCACTCTGCCCTTCTCCTTCCTTGATGCCTTAAGTTCTTTTGTTAGTTGTTGATGCTCATTCTTCAAGCAACCCAGGTTAGTACTTCTTTGTTTGAGATCCTTTGGGAAATAGACAATAAATAGACAATCTAGGGAGGCATTTAAGGGGAGCCGTTGATTGTCCTAGATGTGTAGTAATCTACCGATTACATTCCATAAATACTGCAACCTCCTGTGTACGAAATACGCTTACCCGATGCTGTCGCCGAAGCGGGGTTCGGGTTGGAATCTGAAACGTTAGACGAGTAGAGTTCTTGTCCCAGCAATCGCGGCTACTTCTTAATGCCTAGGACTCGCTTTTTTGGCAAAATGCCTGTTTGAGCACGTATTATTTTCCTCTGGTTTATCGCTCCACATACATAACTCTGACAAGTTAGAACATTTTGGAAGTTGTTTGACACTTCCTATTTCAAAGCCATAAACGGCTTTTGTCGGTCTAATGTATCTCGTACCTTGAATAGCCTCTGTACAATTCGGTACTTCTTTTTTTCATGGTGTTTATTTGGAGCATATTTGCACCAGGCCCAAACTACTAATTCGTGATGAGAGACGGGTGACTCATTGCTTTATTCTGCCTCCCCCCCTGTACTTTTACGATATCATACTCCGCTTGCCAGCCAATCAGCTGAAAGTAAGCAGACTCCAGTCAGCTGTTCCCCTAAGCTGTCTGCTTTGTAAGATTATCGTAGGGTTCATTGACATCGCCACCCACTAATCGCACACAAATAACTAAAAAACAAACAGGATGACGTAGGCTCTGGATATAAATGCTTTTTTTTCTACGCTGAATCGCTGCTATCGGTTAACACTGATAAACCACCTAAGGCCGTAAATATTCTCCCCGAAAAAGGTGCTCGATGTGGCATCGTCTCTACTGGGGTTAAAAGTCCATTTTTGCACGTCAGACCCTCGGAACATTTTTTGTTTCCGGTCGGCAAAGTGTCGCTTTCCGAATTGGGCAAATTCATTTTTTTTAAATCAGGTATCCTCTTACACGTGAAAAAAAATATATGGAGGAGGCAGGAGTTTTGTCGGGTCAACCTGGGGGTACAGTCGACGACAGTCAATGGTGGTGAAATGGCAGGATAAATGTGCAATGTGTATTTAGATGTTAGGGTGGCATGAGGGGCGGGGGTGC